CTAAACCTTACCTTAACCTACCAAAACCTACTATTTTGTAGTGTCCCTATAAATTCTAGATTAGGGTTTGTAATAAGGCCCTACAGAAAAGTAGGTTATGGTAGTTCAAGGTAAGCCCGAAACCCTAAACCCTAAACTCTAAACATTAAAGGGGCCCTCGAACAAAAATGAACCCTAAACTCTAAACAGCAAGAATCCTCAACAGCCCACAGAAGCATTCTCTTCGAGGTTTCATGGCCTCTTGTGCAGCGAGGGATTCCTAGATGCTGGAATGTACACCACCTGACCCCCTATGTAAATCTCATTTAGGGTTCAGGGTTCAGAGGGTTGAGGGTTCAGGGTTTAGGGTTCAGAGGGTTGAGGGTTTAGGGTTTAGGGTTCAGGGTTCAGGGTTCAGAGGGTTGAGGGTTTAGGGTTTAGGGTTGAGGGTTCAGTGTTCAGAGGGTCTCAAGCGTATACCCTGGGCCACAGCGCTGAAACTTCTACCCGTATAGCAGGACCTGGGCCCTATCTTTAAGCCTCTTGCATGAAATGCCCACAAAAACCTCGTACAGCTGTATATTGCCTCACAAAACCCTTATATATATATATATATATACACAGCTGTCACAACACGCGCTTCGCAACCTATGTCAATCGTCAAAACTTCGATGCGATGAACAACTCGGAACGGCAGCAGGCACTCACAAGATCAGAAAAGTTGTCTTGCATATGGTAGAAGCCGCCACAGTTCACGAGATGAAGGCTCATGTTGCATTGGTGGAAGCTTACAGGTGGCATCAGATCTCCGCTCGTAGGCAAGATGCAGCTCTTACCTCCCGCGTTTCTGGAACGGGTTTGGGGATGAACGAAGCGCTTCTTCAAGTAGACTTCAAGGAGAACGTCCGCTACCCGCTGAGTTTCTTGGCAGATTTATCTTGAAGCTGTTGTTTTTTGGTCGCACGCTTTTAAGCAAACACAGAGGCAACGAGTGCAGACATTGTTTGTTCAGTCTAATTTCACCGGATAAGGTAAAGAAGAGACGGGGGACGAATGGCACGCCCAGAACAAGCTCTCGCTCACAGTGTTCGGTGGATTCGCACGCGTTCCAAACGCGCAAGGTACTCGCACAGAGCTGTACATCTTGATCATTTCAGAGGTCTTAGACCACGACGCCCACATGGGTAATATGATGATCAACGAAGCGTTGCGCCTGGTTCGCTCGCACGACAGAACTGATTGGTCCAAGGTCGAAACTTTATGGCTCGTTTGTGATTGTGGCCCCCACTTTCGCTCCTTTGAAAATGCAGCCGACTTTCTTTACACTTTGAAAACTCGGACTTGAGTTTCGTGCCGAGTTGTTCTTTATGGTCCGTGTCATGTCTCCGCCACTAGTTTGTAGATCCCTGACTTGACTTCCTAGCCAAGGTAGACCTACTACGCATCAGAATAAACGTGCTTTACTTGGTGGAACAACATGGTAAGGGTGCCTGCGATCGTCTGTTTGGATGGACCCGCACATGGTTGACACGCTTCATTCAGCAAAGCCCCGTCTACAAGATCGCGGACTTGTTGAGATGCTATGAAGACGGGGGCCGAGATATGACCGCTCGGAGAGGTGTTCGCATCCTCAACAACGTCTTCAGCGACCTCTCCAATGCCACAAGACTGTCCTACGAAATTTCGGAATCTGTTGACGAAGACATGGCGAAGCGGCTACTATGACGAGCCTCGCTCCTGGGAAGATCCGGGTCCTGGGCCGGGTGATGAAAACGAAATCACCAGGCGTTTTTCAGATCAGCGTAACTTGGTCCCCGAGGTTTTGCCGAGCCCAAAGCGGACAGTTCAGGAGAAGATCAATGCCAAAGTTCAACAACTGCGCCGACAAGCTAACAAAAAGAAACGACAGCTGGCTACTTTGAAAGAGGCTGCAGAAGACAGCGTGTCCTCCAGCAGTAGCTCTAGTAGTAGTTCCAGCTCCAGCTCTTCGTCAAACTCGAATGCTGCCTAAGATTGACAAGTCCGCAAGAAGGAGCTCCACAGTCTGCGTCATGGAAAATCAATGCTCGGTACGTGGATGTTTGGGGTAGGAAAAGTCGGTGTGTTACTTAATAGAGCGACGGCTTTAATGTCAAAGCCATCCTCATCATCACTGTCACCGTCATCATGATCATCATCAGCAGCATGACGACTTGTAACACGTTTTGCTCATGATGCCTCGGCTAGGTATTCTGCGAACCAAACTGTTTGTCTTTCTACTTCAGTTATGCTGCTATCTATCACACTGCACATGCACACGACACGCGTACATGTCATGAGAGCAAGTGCAGAGATAGGGACAAGTAGAGTGAAGCCACTGGGCACAAGAACGAATAAAGACCTCGAGAGAAGAAATGACTAAAGACAAGAACGAGCTTCGGGGCAGCTCTTATCTAGTGGTAGAAACACGTCTCACAGGAGTTTCACGAGGGTTCGCATGTGCATCTTTAAAATCTCCTAAAACCCCTCAATCTGCGATGGTGCTCAGTAAGGCATCCTGTCGGAAGACAACGTTGCAAACTCAACATTTCAGAACGCCTTCATTGGTTGCAGATGCGTTCAGTCAGACGAGCTCCGGTATGCATCTCTCTCGGCTCGGACCCGCTCGACATCGAAAGCCTGATGACCGCTCTCGGACAGGGTAAGCCTCACATCACAGAAAAGCCGAGGGGCGAGTCTCGGACAGGGTAAGCCTCACATCACAGAAAAGCCGAGGGGCGAGTCTCGGACAGAGTAAGCCTCACATCACAGAAAAGCCGAGGGGCGAGTCCCTGCACCGCTGCCCATCCGGGCAGTCGAGTAGGTTTGCTGTGAAATCATCGGCCCTTTCAGTCCGAGGTCGCGGCTGTGGTTTAGTGATTTATAGTTGTCTGTTCGTTCGAGTAGTACCCTCCCGACCCCTGGTTTAGGTGGTTCCCTATCCACCTCAAAGGGCTCAAAGGCTCAAGCTGAGAACAGCTAGGCGACGACGACGTTGGTCGCGAGGATTACCTATTGGGGCAGCAGTGCCATGGCATCCTCCTCCTCGTCGCCGTCGTCCTTGCATGCTCTATCCGCAATGTGGCTTCAAGTTGGCATTTGGCACCCATCCGGCGAGCGCGACTCTCAGTTGGGGAGTGACTAATGTGCGGTGAACCTCCAAAAGGATGTCCGAAGGCCCGCCGCCGATGACCATCAGCACAGCACCGCCATTATTAATGCCGCAGCAGCTGCTGCAGCTGCAGCTGCGGGCCCGCACCCAAACCCCAAACAGTGAAACCGTAGATAGCCAAACCCTCAACGTTAAGCCCTAAACACAAAAGCCTGACAGCCTTGCCTAAAGGCCTCACGAACTCTCAATCCTGATCCCTAGAACCCTTGAGCTGTAATCCGAATCCCTAAAAATCTGAGCCCTGAACCCGGAATCCCGAGGAAGCCTGAACCCTGCCTGCGAACCTTGAAAGACCGTACAAGCCCTCAGTCCGAATCCTTCAAAACCTAAACCCCAAAAACGATAAACCCTAAAGCCCGAACCACTAAAACCTGCAAGAAGCCGCCAAGTTCACCCAGGCTTGGCGTTCTGGAGAAGGAGCTGCAGCCGCGAACAGGCGCCCCCTAAAGCCTAAACCTTAAACCCAGCAAACCTGAAGCCCTGCACCCCTAAACCCAGAAACCCGAAACCCTAAACCGGAAACCGCTATATAAACCGCTACACCCTAAACCCTACGCCCCTAAACCCGTAAAACTTGAACCGAACCCTCAGCCCTAATTTAGGCCCTAAACCATCAGGGCTGAGGGGCTCTGGGCTTGCAGGGTTTGCGGGTTCCCTGGTTCCCTTGGGTTTAGGGTTCAGGTTTGCAGGGTTTGGGGTTTAAGGTTTACCTTAAACTACCAAAGCTTGTTTTTTTTTGTGTCGGTTCTTATGCTAAACCTTAATACGGACCTTATACGGACCCTACAAAAATGTAGGTTTTGTAGGTTAAGGTAGGGGTTCAGGGGTAAAGGCTTAAGGTTCATGGGTTGGCTTTCAAGGTTTCTTTAAGGGTTGCCTTTGAGGGCTTCAAGAAGGGTTTCTGTCGGGGTCACTGCGAATGGCTGGGACAAGCCGTCGCTTAGTTGTATGTATATGTAGATCTGTTGAGTCTGAGTGGACATTGGGGCTTTGTCATTGTGCAGCGGCTGCGTGTCTGATGATTTCGTCTAAACCCGAAACCCTATACCTAAACCCAAAGGCGCTAAGATCTGGCGGACTAAACCCTAACCCCAAAAAAACTTAAGCCATAGTTGACCTCCAAAAGAGCGGAAGCCATTAGACTAGACGGGAACTACGGGAGCCCGTGCGGAACCCAGAAAGGAGCCCTTCAGGAACCCTGAAAGGAACCCTACACCCTAAACAGCGGAAGCCTTATAAACCCTATAAGCCCCTAAGCCTAAACCCTAAACCCCAAACCCTGCTTGAGTGCGAACGTAAGGGGTCCCAGTCTGGATGAGCATCCGGCACTTTTTTCAAGGGTCAACAAATCTTCTCGGTTTGGGGTTTGAGGGTTCTAGGAGGGTTTAGGTTTGAGGTTTTAGGGTGTAGTTAGGGTTTAATTAGGTTTGAGGGTTTCGGGTTTAGGGTTGCAGGGTTTAGGATTGTCAGTGGGGCAGGTTCATGGTTCCGAGACGTGGCAGAAGCATTCCGGGTGCTTTCAAAACCTCGCCCGGTTTCAGAAGACGTTCCGACATTGCAGCCCCTCCCGGCAAAAATTAACGCAACAAGGGCCTAAAAAGAGATGAATATTCATAAGCTAATCCTACAGCCCCAAACGCCAAACCCCCCTAACCCTGAAGCTCTCAACTGTATGATCCCGAGCCTTGTGTGAGTTCCGCGCAGGTGGTGGCAAGGATGAAAAAGTATCCGATCAGGAGGAGTGCTTGGGGTTCAGGGTTGAGGGTCCAGTAGAATTCATGGTCCCGTCCTGACGAAAGGCTTCAGTTTCTTCGGTTTGAGATGGATGCGCTGGGCATGGCGCTTCATGCCTTCGGTATTAGCTTAACGCAGTTGGTTTGCGTTTGAACATGGACACGGGAACACGGAGCACAAGGCCCTAGAATTAGCTAGGGTTAAATGTTCAGGTAGTTCTGGCTGCAGTTTTCCCCCCGTTCAATTTGCAGGTCTGAACTGATTACCGGTAGTGCGTCCCCTGGTTTTCACTTGTCTGTTGTCTACTGAAGAATGAATGTAGAGCAGGCTTGGGGTTTTCGGGTAGATGCTCGTTGGGTGTTTGGGGCTTGAAAGGTTACTATAGGGGTCTAAATAATTTAAGAATGACCGATATTATTTTGGGGGCTCCTTAACAGTAGTTATAGTATGATATACCCCAAAACCCTACTTTAATTATGAAGGCCCCTACATTGAGGGGCTGGAAAGGTTACCCGAAGCCCCATAAGCCCCTGAAGTGCGCTAAACCATATCAACCCTAAACCTCGGACCCTAACTCCTAGCCTTAAGCCTTACAACCTAGACCCCAAAACCCCACAGCCCTAAACCCTACCTAGACCCTAAAGGACCTAGCTTTGTAAGGGTCCATATAAGGAAATCATAAAAAAGGAGCCCTCAAGGGTCCAGGTACACCCTGAACAGTAGGGCCTAAACCCTCAACCCTAAACCCTAAACCCTAGACCCTAAACCCTAAACCCTAAACCCTAAACCCTAAACCCTAAACCCTAAACCCTAAACCCCGACACCCTAAGCCCCCCTCGCTTGCCGAGGACGAACACGAGGAGCGTGATCGCGGAGATCGAGGCTTGCTGAGTGATGCCTTGCATTACAAGTTCCTTCAAGGGTTCCTTTTAAGGTTTATAGGGTTTAAGGTTTAGGCTTGAGGATATACCTTGTAAAGGTTCCGTTGCGGGTTCCTTTGAGGGCTCCTGCAAGGGTCCGTCTACGGGTTTAAGAGGGTTCTTTAAAGGGTCCCTTTCAGGGTTCCTTCAAGGACTTCCACAGGTTTGAGGGTTCAGTGATAGGATTCTTTTCAGGGTTTCTGTACGTCTACTTTCAAGACCTGTTCTTCCCCAAGAAAGGTACGTATGACCTTACTTGGAAACCCTAAACCCTAAACCCCTATAAACCCTTTTGAACCCTAAACACGTATGAAGCCTGACGCTTGCAAGCCTGCCCTACCGTAGTTATTCAGGCCCCTTCATTGCTTAAACTCCTCAGTCGCACGGCGTAGACGGCTGGGCTTGTCTCGGGGCCCAAACAATTACCAATACTATTTTGGGNNAGTACAATATACCCCAAAACCTTGTTGTAACTATTTAGGCCCCTGTAGTACTTATAACCTATTTGATCATACTCGGGATACTTAGCTGATGAGTAGCGTCGAAGTGCAGCCCGCCCAGCCACTTCTTCTCCAGAACAGCGCAAACCCTTCGACTACGATGAATCCGTATCTTGCTACTAGAAAAACCTTAGTACGGGAGCGAACGGATATTGAGCTGTACAAAGGCTGCTTCTTTAAAACCCTTCTAACAACCGATGGTGGACCCAGCGAGTGTCAAAAACCATCAAAACCTTTCAGAACCTCTGTCAAACCCACTACTGTAGTTGCGGCGATGTGTGAAACCCCAAAACAACAACGACCCTGAACTCCCCGAAAGTCTGAGCCCCTTACAGGATCAAGTATCTTGGGTTCGCTACTGCCCCCTAAACCCTAAACCTC